CCCGCAATATTAGGGTACCAAGTAGAATCATGGGGTGTATCCTGCCGTTGGTGGTGTTGACTTGTTTTTCTTGACATCTCCTGTTTTGCTTTTGCCTCACATAGCGTGGAGAGAGGATTAGAGGACTCCATGCTGTATGTTTTTGCCTAACCCTAGTGTCAGCAAGCATGCCGTTAGTCTGTTGAGTACGCCGAGCGATCTCGCAGAGTGTTGGACCAGTATGGATGGAGAAACCTATTAGTGTGTCTGCGCAAACGAGCGAAAGGGGGAAGTCGGGATAAGCCGAGGCTTGGTCAACCTCCGACGCTAAAACCCAACCCCGATTNGACCCCCCCGCAATATTAGGGTACCAAGGAGAATCATGGGGTGTATCCTGCCGTTGGTGGTGTTGACTTGTTTTACTTGACATCTCCTGTTTTGCTTTTGCCTCACATAGCGTGGAGAGAGGATTAGAGGACTCCATGCTGTATGTTTTTGCCTAACCCTAGTGTCAGCAAGCATGCCGTTAGTCTGTTGAGTACGCCGAGCGATCTCGCAGAGTGTTGGACCAGTATGGATGGAGAAACCTATTAGTGTGTCTGCGCAAACGAGCGAAAGGGGGAAGTCGGGATAAGCCGAGGCTTGGTCAACCTCCGACGCTAAAACCCAACCCCGATTTCAACGCAAAGCATTCGAAGGCACCACAAAAAAAAGTGTTTCTCTACTAGTGCAAACATGAATCACCCCCCCCNTCCTGGTGCCAAAATGAATCACCGTCTACCCCTTCCCTCGGTCGTGTTTTCAGATTGAAAACCAAAGCATCACAAGAAAAAAAGGTGCTCCTCTACCAGTGTCAAAATGAATCAATCCCCCCCTGTTTTCCTCGANACCCCTTCCCTCGGTCGTGTTTTCAGATTGAAAACCAAAGCATCACAAGAAAAAAAGGTGCTCCTCTACCAGTGTCAAAATGAATCAATCCCCCCCTGTTTTCCTCGATCGTGTTTTCAGGTATAAAACCAAAGCAACTCGAAATAAAATCGGATGCGGAAAACGACAGCCTTATTATTACCCCCTGCCCTGAACTAGACGGTTGAACCTGTATCCCCACCGGTTGCAATAGATACCACATTTCTGGAGGCGCGATAGAGACGCCAGCCACTATTTTTTACGCTATCTTGGCACACCTAACAATCCTCGTCGAGCAGTTTCAAGAGGGTCTGTTTGATTGTAGCCTCGTCTCCTAACCCTAAACGTAGCTTGGTTTTCAGGGCATCGATATTCTTTTGGCGCTTTTTGCTCTCCTGCTNACTCTTGGCACACCTAACAATAATCCTCGTCGAGCAATCTTAAGAGGGTCTATTTGATTGTAGCCCCGTCTCCGAAACCTAAACGTAGCTTGGTTTTCAGGGCATCGATTTTCTTTCGGCGCTTTTTGATCTCCTGCTCCGCTTGCTTTTGGCGCTTATTGCTCTCCTGCTCCGCTTCCTTGATCGCCGCCAGCTTGGCGAGGCTTGTGGCGACGCCCGTCATTCCCTCGGTATCGACCGTGAGGACTTGCAGCCTTTTCCGTTTGTTCTCGACCTCCTCTGACGCTCTCTTCGCATTCGCCTTGTCAGCCTCCGCTCGGGCTGCCTTCTTCTCCTGCTCCGCTCTGAACGCCGCCGCTTTGCGACGGCTCACGGGGTCACCGTTCGGACAGGCTCGATCCAGAGCCGGCTTGCTCGCGACGGTGGAGTCCTCGTGTACGACCGCGTCCCCCTTTTCGTTCTTGGATCGGGTCGGGGGGCCGTCGGAGAGCTCGAGGTACTTCCATTCGGCGGGGCACCTGTCGCTTCGCCCCCACGCCCCCGCCATGGGGATATACGGGTAGTAGTAGTGACTCGGCACCTCCACCTCCTCTTGGAGGTCCTGTCCCGGCTTGAACACCGGACGCTCTTCCCTCTCGCGCCGCGCGTTGGCAAAGGCGATGGCGGCCAGGTCCATGACCGTGCCCCCCGTCGTCACCGGCGCACCATCATCGGCGGCCGTCGCCGCCCCCTGCGTACCAGCACGCGCTTGACGGAAGGCGGCGCCAGCTGCCGGAGTCAACTGCCTCTCTCGGGTCTCAGCGCCAGAAACCGGAGACGCGCCTTCCGCCCCCGCTCCGGTCCCATCCCCAGAAGCCGGAGCCGCGCCCTCCGCTCCCGCCCCCGGTCCGCCCCGCCCGCTGCTCCCAGCCCGCG